GTTTAAGGGTCTAGGTAGGGTTTGAAGAGCATCACTTTCCAGAGCGCAGCTTGGTAAACCTTCGTGTTCCTGTCGTCCAAGTGGCCTTTTCGTTTTTGGTTCCCGAGGTTCGTCCAAGGTTTGTTGGTGGTACCCCCGTTGGGAGTCGCCCTCAGTTTACTGTTTCGCCCCTCGAATACACCCAAAACCTTCAGAAGTACTGCGACTGCTAGGTTTTTTGAGCCTTCGGAAGCATATCACGAATGTACCTGAAAACCACACTTTGGTCCGCACAATCTGAGCAGAGCGTGAAGAATTCCAGCAAAGCATCTCGATATCTTGCCAGAATTCATAACGTACTGCGCTTGCCACGTTTTTGGAGGTATTGGGCGCATCCAAAAACAGCAAAACAGCCGGTGCTGGTAAATTACATGCCCAGTAATAATTGCAGTAGCAGTCGTAGGAGCGGCAGTAGGAGGAGAAGTAGTGGTGGTGGTGATGATGCTGCTGGTGGAGGAGCAGGAGCCCTCAGCAGGAGTGGGAAGATGAGTAGGAGGACTATAGGAGCAGTCTCAGCAGAAGGCCTCCACTCCTGCGCCACAAGAATGAAGTGCCAGTGGCTAGCGGCTAGACCCTTGATGGCCTCATGGAAGCCGCGTCAGGTACAAAACGGCTGAGGGCAAGAAGGAGAACAAGTTTGGCTTCTCAGGGAAGCCGCAGAGCGCGGAGTTCGCAAGGCAAGTGGTGGCCGCCCGCCTGAGGTGGAACATATCTTCTCCGAAGACTAGCCGTCAGACATACGCAAGCCCCATCAAGCTAAGGAAGAGACACATCAAGCCTGGCAGAAGCTTTTGACAGAAGCTGGGCAGAAGGGTACGATGAAGAAAGTTGCAAGCGGCCCTGAGCTCTACACGGAGCTTGCCCTAGCAGCGTAGCGGCAGAGGACAGAGCAACATGACTTCATGTATTGTGCAGATGCGGTTACGCTGGTAGAAGTTCTCCGAGATGGAGTTGGCACCAAGTATTTGTGAACCGGAGCGCTGAGAGGTCAGCGCCCGTTAATGCATGTTGTTTTCCTCCGGGTCACCCGGCTTGCACAGCGCAGGATCTGTACGATTAGGACCGATTAGGACCATTTTCGCCTGGAAGAGCACTCCCGAAGTGGAGCCTTGCTTCTATAGCTGATGGGCTGATGGAATGCGTCCCAGCATCCCGTGCCAGGCTTCATTTTGCACAGAACCTCCGACTCGCGCATGCCCAGGGTGTGACATGAGTTGCGACGGTGTTGAAGAAGGCGTACGTGTGAGTGTAAGTTTCGGGAAGCACCCTACGCCAGTGCAGCTAGAACAAGTCAGGTGGAGAGCGGTGAGCAAGATGTGAGCATTGTGGCGCTTCATTGCCTCAAATCTCAGAATTATCTCAAATCTTGTTGTTCTGTGAGAACTTATGTGGCAGAGAGCCGAGAGCAGCAAGTGCTTCATGGATAAGTTCTTCTTGTCAAATTGCTGCGTGAGCTTCGAGTCCTGGTTAGTTGCATGAATGCTTTACGTGGACATAGACTTCTGCTCTCATGCCTGGTTGGAGCAGCTAACTTGCCATGGGATGCCGCGCAGCTGCAAACGAACCAAGTCTTGCAGAAACTCAGGAATGCGGGGTCTGCTTGGGACTGCACTGTTGATGACTGCTGATGAGGTGCATGTAGCAGCGATGCTAGCTGTGCCACTACGAACCCAAATGGCTATCAGAAGGCTTGTAGTCATGCACGCATTTCACGCACCGTCTCTTCAAAAAAAGGGGCATGTCATGGCACGTGTATGCAGGTCAGTGACACGCACGCAAGTGCAAGCTGATTCTTGACTGGATTGGATGGATTTCCGACATGGTTTCTGGGATCCTCCCTGGAGTGTCCTCAGGCGACCCTGCAGTGGATGTGCCTGCCGGGTGCTTACTCCTCACGTAGGCGGCAGGGTAAGTGCTGCTTTCCGAGGTGTCGCTGCCAACAGAGCCCTCAGAAAAGATGATCGAATCATTTGTTTGGGTGCCTTGCTGCTATCTCTCCTGTTGTGATAATCACGGGATCTTCCTTGGGGGGTGGCATATGGCAGGTTGAAGAATCAGAGACCTTGCCAGTCCTCCTGCAGAGCCTGACGGCTGAGGAGACACAGGCAATGCTTCACGGTTTGCACACACCCTCTCCCCACCCTGCCTCCATCTCTCTCGCTCTCGCTGTTGAGGAGGTTGGTGTTTGTGACCCGCCAGAGCTTGAGTCAAAGGCCAGCGAGCTCTGCCTTCCCTACGTGTTGCTTGGAAGCTTCCCGCAGGCATTTGTTCCCAAAGATCGGGAAGTGCCTTGGTGGCGCTTCCTGGCGTGGCTCGGAAGCTGTAGACGTGTGTTGTATGACATGACTGCATCATACCTGATCCTTCCTGTTGCGCAAAGGTTGTGGGTGTGAGGGGGCCTCAGAGTACCATCAGCAAGATACCGATGATGCACTGTTCTTGCTCAGGTTGCTGCGTGGCATCAGGGATGCTGCCAGGGCAATCCCTCTTTGTGCAACTTGGAGCAATTCAACTGAGGCGCGTTTCAGTCGTGCCAAACACTGGAAACAGCCAAGGGAGATTCTTGCCGATGCTGAAGTGTTCAGCTCTGTTTGCGAGGGCTCGTCATCGGGTTGTGGCTTGTCTTGAACTTGTACTATATGGGTGACGTGGACACGTCAGTGGCAACGGGCCATGAATGACATTTTAGCTGCCTGAAGTTTCTGGGGAGAGCTTCCCCAGCAGGTAGGACCAACCATGGATCTTTAATTCGTCCTTTTGGTTGCTGCGGGGCCGGGACCTGGTACCGACACTCTCAAAACTTTCCACTTCTCTGGAAATACCTCCTGCAACAAGTTCACAAATCCAAGCTTGCACGGGATGTCCCCACGATTGGCTGTCTGCTGTCGATTAGGGTTGATGCTCAGCTGGTGCTTGGCATGTTTCGCTCAGTAGGGCTACCTCCGGGCTTGAGGCTTGAATTTGCTCAGTGCAACCTGCAGGGCGGAGGGGTAGCGCCTGCACTTGAGGTAGAGATCAATTCCTTGTGCCTCAGCAGCAAGGTGTTCGCAAAGGATGATTATGGATGATCTCGCTGGCCAATTTAGTTTCTCCCTGGCTTCGAGGTTCTGACATCCGTATTCGGGGCTGATCTCTCAGCCTGCTAGCGTTTCTTCAAAGACAGGACGCATAGAGACGTTGGTTTGCATGCTCAGGTGTGCCAATCCCTTGCATATGGCTTTTCAGCGCCTATTGGTCTGCTTTACGATCGCTGGGGCGTGGCCGAGCTGAAACCAGCACCAGATGCCGCATTTTTGTTTGATCGGGTCAAAACAAGGCGAGGAACATCGGAACTGCTGGGGCGCTTTGCTGCGCATTGGGGCGGCTTGTCAAAGGGAACCTGAGGAAAGAGCGGGTAAATCATGACGCTAAACCGCTAAACGAGCTTTGGATATCATCAGATGCGTCTGAGGCTTCTGCTGCTGTGTTGGTCTGTGCTTGGAGCGACATCTGGGCATGTCAGGGGCTTAGGTGACATGTCAAGTTGAGGCCTGCGCTGGGGCCAGGGCGGTTCCTAATTTAGAATTTGGGCCATTGAAACAGCACAGGACTTCCTGACGTGCAACTTCGTTGCGCTTGGTGTGGCACAGCTGCATAAGCGCATTCGTCCGGTTTCAAGCTTGGGTCTTCAGGGTCTTATACTAGTTTCTCTGAGGTCTTGCTATGCGATTTCGGATCCATGCTCAATAGTTGCTTGGCAGTCGAGTCCAGACTGCCAGCGGACACATTCCAGTGACCCTGCAGGTTTTGCCTTCATTGGACTCATTTGGCATTTCCCACGGCGACAGACGCTAGTCATTGCCCTCATCAACTCCACGCCACGGCCTTGATTTGCGATTGGAAATTTCATCATACAGCCGCCAAAGCAAAGGTATCAAGCATCTAGCCTTCTCCCGATACTGCTCCGCGCGGCCGCTTGTTTCTGTTAACATGCTGAACCTTGCGATTGTTCAGCATGTAGGAGCACCCGGTCTGAGAGTGAAGGTTGTGTTCGTAGCTGAGGGCATGAGTTGCCTGGAGCTACCGCTGTACGTGCTGATGTTGGCTTGGACAGCCCTCATCTTTGCGACAGTGTATTTTTGCTCGATGCTGATCCCCTCGCAAGTTGAGCATCCTGGCCTCTGCAGCATCGGCAGCTGCCAATTTCTGAATGGTAGGCAAAGATCTTCATGCAAGGTATTTCCAGCATGCAAAGCTGGTCCTCGGCGTAGCCTTGGCGACGCTAAGTGAGAACGCGTGCTCCGAGATTGTTGTGGCTCCAGATACGATGGTTCCAGTTACAGCTGCTCAGGAAACCCGAAGACATGGGCATGCCTCTTGGGCTACAAAGAAGTCCAGATCCGGACATGTCAGCACCTGCCCGACTAGCTGCAAAGGCGCCAGATGATCTGCCGCGCGGTTGAGGTCTTGCAGCTGCATCATGTGGACCATCTGGTTTCTGGCTTCGCCCTGGCGGCTGGATTTGCGTGTCCCGGCGAAAACGCTCGTGGGAGCTTTCACGAGCTTTGATGTTGCTGATGGCTCATGTGGCGGGATCCCGGTCTGCTGAGGCTACCTGGGTTCTACTCATCGCTGGCGGCCACTTCGCTTACACCACTCGTGGCGAATCTCAGCAGTATCAGTTAGTATTCGCGGGCTCGAGGCATCCTACGGGGAGCAGCTGTTTGGCGACAAGTCTGATGGCAAGAAGCCGCTGGACAAAGACAAAGCATGGTAAAGGAGTCGGCAGAGCATAATCGGAACTGGCCCAGGCTTGTGGAGGTCAACTTGCTTTGCACTCTGATAGTCGGCGTCCCAGATGTTCTACATTGGGATTTTCGTCCAAGACCTAAGCCCAAAAACCCAACCAAGCCTTCGCATGGACTGAAGGTTGGTATCGTCCTGGGTCCCCTTGCTGGACTTCTGGCGGATGGTTATGGTTTGGAGGAGCGCCGTCTTCACAGGCAGATAGTCTTTTCCGCTGAGCAAATGAGAGGCCTTGATTTTGTTGCTGGTTGGGACAGCGGCAGTGGCATGCAGCACCGTGAGCCTGGCGTCATGGCCTGCTCAAGTCATTTGTACGACGCGGCCTCGGGCTGACTGACGCTACATGCTTTCAGACTTGGAGAGTCCTTAATGCCGAGGTTCTCAACAGTCCTGTTCATAAGCCTCTTCTCGATTTACATCTCGCGCTATATCTTGCTGTTTCCCGGCTGACCGAATCCCATGAAGCCTTGACGGCTCCTTAGCCGTTGTTCTCATGAGGTACTCGCCGCCAAGTCGCTTTGGTGCTGTGCAGGGCATCTACTCAGCGGCCCGGGCTCCTGACCTTACCGCAGTAGCTTTCACCAGACATGGCCAGACCACCAGAAGCTGAGGCCGTCGTTTTGATGAGTACTCCATGGTCGCTTGCTGGAATGGCTGCTGCCCGCCAGCATAAGCTTATTTCAGCTTTCTCACCACTTCCTGGCTTCGCGTGCAGGCAATGTCCATGCTGCCTCCAGGCTGTGCGGGTTCAGACAGAACCGGGCAAAGCGGTGTTTCCCAACAAGGATCTGTGTAAGCTCCAGACAAATGTTGAAGGTCTCAACGAGTACCGAGTGCCGATGCTCGCGCTGGGGCTGTCTGTACCCCAGTACCTTGAGCCAAGCCTGTGACAAAGAGTTGGCTGAGAACGCCAGCCAAGGACGGGCGTTTTACTTCTTGCTCTTTATGCAACTCAGCCACAGGTACGTCTTACAACTCTTGAGATGCATGATTTTTGTTCAGAGGCCGCCTACTGCCAGCAGCATCCGCCTCCGGAATGTCCTCCCATGTTGCCGGAGGATGAGGCTGACGAAATGGCTTTCGCTTCCTCACATCCACAACAATTTCAAACCCGCGCAAGCACGATGCCTCGCAGCCTACCACCCAGGCTGACCTCGCTAAGCTCTTTGGATGCGGAAACTTGGAGGAGGCACAATGCTTGGTCAGGTGTACGTATGCAAGATGGGCAGAGGAAACTTGCCAGGTGTGCGAAGTGACTGGAGTGAGGAGTAAAGCTCTGCTGGTCAAGAAGATGGGCTCTGAGAATCCTGAGGCATGCAGGGAAACATCTTTCAGGTGGGATAATTAAATTCCTGTTTCACGGATGCAGGACCAGCTCAGCATCCTGAAAAACATTGATGCGCACAAGATGATGGAGCGCTGGGATTTCGCTGCTTTAGCGAGCGACTTTTCTTAATTACCTTGAGCTCGGCGGGAAATTGAAGTGCTGTACAGGAGATGATGTCCGACCCCAAGTTCCTCTCCTTCGCTGGATTTCCGGCGATGAGTGCCAGCACAGAGACAGACTACACTAAGGGCCAAGCGATCCGCTGAAGACATAGCCGTTGCCTGTCCGAAGATCTTGCAGAACTTATGGTCTTTGGCAAGCTTCAGCACGACTCCCAGGAGATGATGGAGGCGGAGGAATCTGCTGTGACTCAGGCAGTCTGCAAAAAGTCATGTCTCAAACTGGGCTGTTCTATGTATTCTACATGCAGGATATAGGAGATGAGGAGGCGGAGAAGGCTGCCCAACTGCCAGTCTTGTTGCGGCACCACTCTTGCAGCCAAAGCTTGCTGCACTGTGAGGTTGGTCAGGTGCCTCCCGAAGAAAGCCCCTATCTCAGGGAGTGTTTAACAGTGGGACAGAAAGGCTCCCAGTTGCAGAGCCTCAGGTTGTGATCCAGCAGAGGCTGCAACAGAGGCCTCTCATTTCGAAAGCTTTGTTGTTGGCAGCTGCCGGCCCTAAGTGCAATGCTTAGGATGTTCGAGCTCGAGGTCTGTACTTGACAAGGCTGCCAGCAAGTCTTGTCCTTCAGAGGAATGAGGGTGCCCCTGTTCTGGGACAGGATTGTGAAACTTTCTGACGCGCAGGCTGCAAGCTTCAAGAAGAGTTGACCTTGAAACCTTGGCAGTCAGCACCTTTTGTGCTTGGAGGCAGTAAGGGAGTACTTGCTGACAGAGCCATTGGAGGCCCCTTGATCCAAAGTTGACAACTGCCACTAGTCACTAGTCAGCTACCACCAGCCACCAGAAGTGCCTGGCTTGCCAGGACATGTGGAGAGTTGCCCTTGACATGGAGGTCTCGGACGTCCTTTCAAGCCTGCATTTTTTGTAACCTGTGCACACCCCGCAGAAGTGGCAAACGCAATCAGAGCAGGCAAAGATGGACAAGGATGACCACCATGTCACTTATGCCTTTCAGCGGTACTCCGCTTGACTTGCGTCGTTTAGCCAGGACTTTAACAAGACCATTCCGAGCAAGGACTGGAACCCACCCAGCTGGAGTCATGGTAAGCATGTTGCAGTATGCGCTCTTGGCGATGCGCCAGATCAGGAGCTTGCAAGCATTCTGCGCAAGCGGCCTGAACTCAAAACCTTTGTGCAGCGCGCAGCGGCCTTGAAACATGCTGGGATGCTTTTAGTCATTCACGACCTTGTCATGCAGGCCATTATGCGTGAGGTGGAGAGGAAGATTAGGCCGCCAGCTTGCAAAAAATGCTTTTTAGTCATTGTAAGTCAGACTGATCCCCAAGGAAATTGCAAGCGAGAAAGAAATGAGCTCCCCGCCAATGGTCCTTGGAGGTCCTGTGGTCAACCCCAGGCGGAATGAGGCATTGATTGAATTGGTTTTAGAGAACTACGTCACCGGTACACCGTTAAAACACAAGGATGATTACAGCTGTTCCCTCCAGAGCTTTACAGCAGGGCTAGTTTTCTATCAAGCCTGGACGGCACCTAGCTTTCGCTCCAATTAAGTTCAAAAAGTGCATGCTACCGCCAGGATTCCTGTTGGAATCCGGGTGAATTATGCTTGTGCCTGTACAAAAGGTCTGGACTTGCTTCGTTTCGTGGCAGCAAGGAGGGCCCCTACCCCGCAAAGCAGGCATTGGGGCTACATGCGCCGTATGGCGCAGGATCTGTACAGGATTCGCCATGCGCCGAGACAAGACATGTCAAGCGAAATAAACAGGCGATGATTATGCCATCTGGTGCTGAGTGTTGCGTAGCGGCCTAGGCCTCCATCTTGTATCTTCATCCCAAGTGACAATGTATTATGACGCGCTGGGCTCACCATTCATCATTCATCATTGACTCATCATCCTGCAGTAGTGTTGTGTCAACACACAAGCTTTAGTCATGCCTTCCTTGCTTGTCGCGCTGTTGCTGCTGGCGGCAATCCAAAGTGCTTGGGCTGGCGTGCTTTGTTCTTGGACTAGTGATGAAGCCTGGCAAATCAAGTATGCAACACGTCCTCGATTGTGATTTGCACCGCATCTGCTGTAGGTGGAAGGTCCATACTTCAGGTTGTTTAAGCGGGGCAGCTAAATATCTGGGTGGACTTGACGCTGAGGAATCTACAAAGAATCTTCCGAGTGGGTGGCGTCACTTGCTTGGCACATCTCTTGCGCTGCGTGCACGTGGATGCAAACTTGACTTTTCTTGCAGCTTGCAGTTTAGGCGATGGCCTGAGAAGTTTGCATGATGCCGCAGGGTGTGAAGGCCGGCCAGAAGAGTAGATTTTTTTGCGCCAAGGGCTTGTCTAAACACGCACACACACACAGTTGCCTGGCTGTTTGCAAGCTTTTCGCCGGCAGCCAACGTTCATCAACTTGCCTGTCCCAGGCTACAACAGCGCTGCGCGCGCAATACCGGGAAGCATGGCAGAACTGCTGCAAGCGCTAAACATTGAAGATGACGGGACCGACGCAGCAGTGGATAGGCAAAGACTAAAAAGGACATTGGACACACGCATGTGTATTGCTGCAGTTGAGGCTGGCATAAATATGCAACCCTAGCCGCAAGCTTGGTCCCAGGAGTTATCGTGAGCTATCAGTGAAGCATCACCCTGACAAGTCCCAAGAGTCCTCTCGGTTTCAGCAATTGCGAGAAGCCTATGAGATCCTTGACGACCCTGTCAAGCTGTTGCTGCAGCTCGGAATCCGAAGACACCAGATCACGAGCTCCTGCCTTTAGCGACGATGGTTGTAAGGCGCCGAGCATTCTTCCAATAAGGTGGCTGCAGCTGAGGTATGACAGCGGAGGCCCGGAACTGGTGCGGAAGTATGAGACGGACCCAGACGAGGTGCCAACAACGGAAAATCTGGAGGTATCCCACAGCATTCGTCTGGAGGAGGCCTACACAGGTGGTGATTATACCTTGGGTCTCAGCAAGCAGGTTGTGTGCCTCTCATGTAGAAAGCAACCGCGTTTGCCTCGATGCCGACAGTGCAAGGCTTGTCCAGAAGAGGTCCGCTTGCGACAGGTCTGGATAAGCCAGTGGGAGTATTATATGGAGGAAGTGCTTGTGCCCAGCCCAGAGAGGTGCAGGCAAGCGGATCTTGACTTGAACGTGACGATCGAGAGGGGTGCCGCCACAGGAGACCGGCTGCGATTTGAGTTCATGGCAGCCCAGCTGCCAAAACACATCCCTGGAGATGTGCTCGTCACGTTGCAGGTCCTTAAGCATCCTGTGTTTAAGCGAAGGGGCTCGGACCTTATCCTCACTCTGCGCATATCCCTCTTGGAGGCCCTTGTTGGTTTTCAGCGGGAGGTGGTCCACCTTGATGGCCGCAGGCTACGATTGTCTGTTCCACGAGGTAGCGTCGTGCACCCTGGAAGTGCCCTGGAGATCTCAGGAGAGGGCATGCCACTGCATGAGGATGCATCCACTTCCGGAAGCCTGCTAGTAGATTTCCAGATTGACTTTCCGGACTATGTGGACCATGCCACTGCAGCGCAGCTTGAAAGAGCATTCTCAATGTGAAAGAAGACCATCCCTCATTCTGGCCTTGACGCGTATTAAGCTTGCACTCAGATCCGGTGTGGAGGACTTGACGCAAGGAAGCTCCACGCTCTTGAGCAACCACGCTTCGATGATGAGCAGTCTCCAGCACGTCATAGAACTGCACCTACCTGTCGACGGGCTTCATTGGAGTCGCATGTCTCTGGCTGGTGGGCTGGCATTCGTCCTCTCATGCCCGCACGGAAGACAGGCAGCATGTCACATTCCATGATAGCGTGAGCCTCGGCTCGAGTAAGAAGCACTCGAGTCTCACCCTGATAGCTCAAGCAGCTCTCGCAGGACTAAGACAGATGCGCAAATGAAGCCTGCAAGCCTGCATGGTTTGAAAGGACTGGTACGCAGCACGCGGGCCGGTTGGAAGATTGATTGCTATTGCTCAGGTTTCTTTTGTTGCTGGGTTTTGGCTCCATGCTGCTTCTGCTGCGGGTGCAGCCGCGTGATGCCGCGTGGCGCCCAGAGGCTGGACCCTCATGAATAGCAGGGGCAGGATGAGCCCAAGCAAGTTTCACTAATGTTGAATTGTGCAAGTAGCCGTGTAGCCCAACTCAAGCTGTGCAGCTGTGCAGGTGCCATGCCACGGCGTCGGGACCAACCCGGGCCTGGGCACTATGAGATCCCGCACTTCCTCTCTCAGAGCACGTGGCTTGGCATCGTGAATTCGCCTGTCCCACTTCTCACCTTCGCAGCCGATTCGCAGGCTATCTGACTTTGGGTTCCCCGTTTGGGTTGGGAAGGATTACGGCAGATTGGGATTGCGGCTTCAGCTGCTGCTGAAGTAGCTTGTGCATTCCCCATTGCCATGCAGAGTGGAGTGGGCCCTAGCCAGTTGACTGAACGGAGCGGTGGGTTGCCAGCATAAACCTAATGCTCATATCCAATACACTCCCCGCACGTCATGCTAGTTGCCATGGCCAAGCATCAGTGGTAGTAATGATGCAAAAGCTGCTGTAATGACACACAAGCCGTCGTGCTAACAGCGCAAAACAGTTGCATCACTACATCCCGTAGAACATGTCAGCTTGCTTCTGAGCTTTAGTGTTAACATGTGTTAACATCAACGAGTGAGGGTTTACGTTAAGCCTTAACAGTAAGTTGGAGGAACCCCAGCAAGCCTGTATCCTCGGAGATGGCAGCAGTTCCAGAGCCATGAAAAATCTTGATAGCACGTTTTGCGTAAGTTCTCACCGTTGAGATGCTTTTGCGCCTCGATGGGTCCAAGCGTTTTGCCCCGTTTTGTACAATTCCCTTACGCTCTCAGGTTTTTCTTACATGAATCTCAGGAGAGGGGCAAGCCTGAAGATTGGCAATCGCGTGGGAAATCAGCCGCAGCCTCGTGGAGTTTCAGCTTGGCGCAACCGGGCTCTACCGTGGTCTGAAAGGAGGCTGTGTCGCTCTGACCAAGGTCGGAGCTCTTTCCCGGACCAACGGACTATGTGTCCCCTTCTGGGTGCCCCACCGAGAAGAAGTCGAAACACATCAGGCGCGGCATTCTGCAGCAAGGCTTCCGAGTCTTGGGCTGGGCAGCTTGGCACAGGTTTGGCACGGCCAAGCGCTTCGGGAGGACAGCCGGGGTTGGAGATTTGGAGCTAGCAGCTACGTCGGGTCCACAATGCGGCTAAGGACTGGTGAGGACACTCCCGGACCTTGTCAGTACACACCACACAATCCCACAGCCACATCGGAGCGACGAAGCATTGGCGAACGGACTCACATGACGCTCGCTGATAGTGCTGGTTTGATGACCGCACACTCTCACTTACAAGTTACCTACCTCATCGTCTGCCGCACAAGATTGTTTTTGGTCGAATTCCGCGTGAGCTCAGGAAGCTGCCAGGGGTGGCAGATGCAACTTGCAAGCAAGACAAGCTTTAGGGTTGAGTAGCGGGTGATTCCTAGAATCATTAATCAGATTGCGCAATGCACACCCCTGAGAGACACTACCATTATCTTCACACCCATATGCTACATGTCTTCGGGGCACCGCGATTGCGGTTTGAGCTCATTGTGGTGCGGTGCGGTGTGTGATTGGCCATGAGCCCCAAACTCAGGCAACACCTGGTCCTGGTGCCTACACGCCGCTCAAGGCGGCGCTATTTGCTCAAGGTCTTTGTCCCCTTCAAAGCCTATTGCTAGGTGTTGTGCCGGGTGGATAAAAGTTTCTGGCAGGCAGCGGTGCGAAGCCCGGGGACAGCCTTTCACCGAGGCCAGGTTGCGATGACCACGAGGCTCATGCTTCCGTGTCTTGATGTGTCCACCAGTCAGGCTCCCCGAGGCGCGATGCTGTGGCACAGAAGCAGTTTTGGTATTCTCTAGTGGTCTGCGCTACTTTGTGGAGGTCGTTCACCACCCCATTGATAGAGGGCCCAGGCCCTGCAGCATATATGACGGACAAGGCAGCTTTTAGGAAAGCATGGAAAAAGCCCAGGAAAACTCCTAAAGCAGCCACTGCCAGGACTCCAAACTGGCCGCCAACAGCAACGGCTTCGGCTATGGGCCTCGACTACAAGGTCTGTCTGATGACAACACGCCTGGTCCTGGGTCCTACAGTTGGGACCTGAAGCCTTATGGTCCGAAGAGGCTTGACTGGAAGCACGATGGGAGTTGCACTTTGACATGGAGACAGTCAAGTCTTCACACTGTGGGTGTCATATGTTGTCTAAGGATAAGTATGACTCCCAGAAGGGAGTATGAATGACGCGTGAGCTGCAGCAGAAGTCCGGCAGAATATGTGGACTCTGATAAAAGCCGTGAAAAGATACCTGGCTTTCCAAGTCTGTGTACAGCTGTTGCCTTTTCAGCCAACACTTACAAAAAACTTGCCACCAAACAAAGTGACTGCGTATACGCCATATGCCTCACTTGCTGATTTCGCAGAATGGCTGGTAGGGACACACTGAAGTGGAGTCGCTTGCAATATGCAACTGCAAGATTTCACCCGGGGCAATGCAGACCCGTCGGCCTTCAGCCTCCTGCTACTTCTCACCTGAAATGAGCTACAGTCTAAAATCCTCAAACGGGTTTCTAGGGGGGTTCTATGGGAGACTACAAAGGGGGTTCTTAAGGGGGATGCTAGGAGTTTAGACTCTAGCTCAAATGGCTTCCTGCAAACCAATGCTAGAAGCTTTGTTAGAGGCTAGCAGCACAGAGAGGATAGAGACATAGACTGTCACAAGCGCTTAAAGACAGGGCTCCTGGACAAGAGCGGGCCTTGCCAGCCATGTTGAAGTGTGGTGTGGGGAGGTCACAGAGTAATGAGTGACAACAGTACAATTAACAGTAATATTATACAAGCAGTAGAATTGATAATGAAAATAACAATTAAACATATAGCAATAGTGTTACAAGAATGTTAGTCTTCCTCCTCGCAGTATTTGGCTCCCTTACCGGCATTCGCTTCGCGCAGCGAGTTGCCCATACAGGTGGGGGAGGTGGCGGTCAGTGGAGGCTGAGTCTTCTCTCAAAAGGCCACGTCGAGATGGCTGGCGGCTGCGCCACGTTCTGTGCATGAGCCTTACTGCGAGAGCCGCATTCAAAAGTGCTGAGAAGCTCAAATCTCCGGATCCCCTGCAGACCATCCTCTCCGCAGTGGCAGTTCCCGTTCTGATCTTCTTCGGCATCCTTTGCTCTGTGGGGTTTCTTGTCTGATGCAGTTCTCCAAGACATAGTCGGGCTAAGCCTTCAGGGCTATGTTAAAGTGTCATCAATGCCGCCAGCCAAATTGCAGGTCAGTTTTTGCTACTGTTGTTTTTGGCAAGTGATGAAAGCGCAATCGTGTGGAGGGCGTTGCTAGAGCTGGAGTTTATGACTTCCTGTTTGAGTCAAGCGCCCGCGCAGGTCGTCGATGATGGAAATTCCAGAGGACCATTCTGAGGGGTGGTTGGCAGATATTTGGATGTTTGTGCATCCCAACTGTTTGGCAAGGGGGGGCCCAGAAAGGTAAGGAAACACAGCAACTGCACACATGGATCAGGAAAAGAAGCCAGAGGCTGGTCAAGGTTGCTTCATGGCAGCTGCTTTGTATGCCATGGCCCCTGACTTTTGTCTACTATCAAGCAAACATGGCTTCAAACTACCTGAGGCCGCGACGGGCCTATATGCATACAACAAGGCGCCCTCGAAAGAAGCCGCTGTGATATACCTGAGTTCCCAGCAACTGGTCAGGCTGCCAAGTCATGAACGCCCCTCCGAAAAGTGAGCGCCGGTGACACGTGTACAAGAGCAGCATGGCACCGCTAGTGGTTGCCCAACACAAGCGCAAATTTTGACCTGCCAGCAGCAAAAAGAGTTCTTTCTGCACTTCGTATTAGCGATATCACTTGGGAAAGTTGCCGATTTCTGCTGCAGTCGACTTCAAGCAGCTTAGAGCTGACAATGTGTAATTAGTGACAAACCCATGCTCTTGGGCCCAGCAAAGCCAGCAAGAACAAATACAGTATCAATGCCGTAGATTTCCATTGTAGATGAAAAGTCTTGAGGCTGTGTAAGTGAGATGTTCGCCGTGTGGCGCGACAACTCACTGCTGGCACTGCGAGCGCTGCGAGCACTGCAAGCCTCCGTCCCAGCTTCGCAGGCTTCACAGCTTCATGCGTTTGGTGGCAGACGGTGGACAAGCGCTTTGATCCGCCGGCGACGACGTGCCCTGTACCGAGCCCTAGATGATCCGGGCATCAGCCCGGCCAAGGTGCAGAAGCTGCGCGAGCGTGCTGCCAAACCTACACATAGCATGCTGCGCTACTTGGCCGAGAACAAGATTGGCCGCGTACAGACGCAGGAAGATCGCAAAAAGCTGTGGTACGAGCACAGATACATCCGGTATGCCCCAAGCTTCATTGGCCAGATCAAACCCAAGATGCGGCTTTGGACCGTGGCGCTGGAGGAGTCTCAGCTGCCTTTGGCCAGGCTGCCGGAGGTCGCAGTGTGCGGACGGTCGAATAGCGGCAAGTCCACACTCCTGAATTACTTGTGTGGCCAAGAGAGTGCGAACGTGAGGAGGTTTCCAGGCAGCACCACAGAGCTAGTCTTTTGGAAGGTGGGCCGCCCCGCGCAGCTCTGCTTGGTGGACCTCCCAGGCTATGGCTACGCGGAAGCCTCGGAAGAAAAGCGGCTGCAGTGGACAGAGTTCATGCTCTGGTATGTCCGGGCACGGAAGAACCTGAAGCGGCTGTTTCTGTTGGTCGATGCCCGCCAGGGTTTGAAACCCGCGGACCGTGAGATGATCGCCTACTTGGAGAGGCACGGCGTCCCGTGGCAGATCATTGTCACCAAGTGCGATAAGATCCCTAGCAAGGACATAGCAAGGAGGCTCACCATCCTGAAAGAGGATCTCAGCCAGCAAAGGCGGATGGCTGGAGACCCCGTGCCTGTGAGTGCCTTAAAGCGCCGCGGGATGGATCAGCTCCGTGACATCTTGAACAACATGAAGGTTGCAAAGGAGATGGTGAAGGAAGGCATCCGACTGAAAGTCTACGACCTTTTGGAGCAGAGACGAATACGGAACCGAGAGCGGCGCCGGCGAAAGAACGAGAAGAAGGCAGCCGAGGCTGCCAAGGCTGCAGAGGCCAAAGCAGAAGCCGAGAAGGCCGAGGCTGAGACCGCAACCGAGGATATCCCAGGCGCGGAAGATCCAGAGCTCCACGACCTCCATCATCTCTTGGGAAACTGGGCAGCTCAGCCACGGCAGCCACGGGAGGAGGGGCCACTGCCAGGCCCCAGTGTGTCCAAAGCCTTTTTCTCATTGGATGATCGAGACTCACGGAGAGTGGATTCCTTCATGTCATCCTTATTTCCGGACCTCAGCAATCTCCGCGCTTCAGGCTCTTTAGCAGGCGGGCTGGGTACTGACCTGAAGATGCCAGAGAGTCTTGGCAACTCAGAAACGCACGTTCACCTCCCAGATTTGGAGGACAGAGGCTTGGGCTATGAGCCCAGTGACGATGAAAGTGACAATGAGGCTACTGACGTTAAGCCGGAGGTGCGCCGCTTTGACTTCAACCACACTTCAGCTGCAACACCATCTGCTATTCATGCAGAGGGTCTGTCTCTCTTCCCTGGCCTGAGCAGCCCCCAGAATCAGAAGTTGCCACACTTGCAATCTGAAGTGAAGCAAGTTGGTTTACGAAGCGGCCAAGGCCAACAGCGTGGCGATAAACTTTACACGGACGATGATTTTGTGTCTCCGCAGGATTATGCAGCTGGCTTCAAGCGTAGGGCGCCTCCAGCTCCCAGTGCACCCGGAAAGCTCATGGCTGAGATCAGACAGCGCTATGAACGTGAATGGTCCATGGAGCTGGAGGATGTAAGTCACAGTCGACAGGGGTCCCCAGATGCCAGCGAGCGCAGCGAGCGCACTGAGCGGGCGCGGCCTGTCAAGAATGTGGAGCCCGTGTCGCGGATGCCTTTCATCACGCAGGAGGGCAGCAAGCCAATCCCAAAGGGCCATGGCAAGCACAAGATCTTTGGAAAGCCGCCGGCCAGGATTCTCAAAGCCAAGAGAACCCTTGACGTGACCAAGGCATTGGGTCTCAAGGCACGGGATCGAAGACGGAAGCGCAACACTGGCTCTGGCATGGACTGGGAGCAAGCCAAGACAAAATGGTTGGGTTGGTATGACAAAAATAAAGGCAGGAAGTGGCATACTGTGAGCATGGCAGACTCCCCCAGGAAGGAGGACGTGGATGCTGCCTACGAAACGCTTCAGGAAAGGCGAAGACAGCGTATAGCGAGCATGCGCCAAGCTCGGCACAAAGGTGGCCGTGCACGGGACTCCAACGCGCCGCGAGATGAAGCAGCTTTGCCTGAGTGGGCTGGGCGCGATGAGTGACCTGCGAAAATTGCATGAGCTTGCATTTAGGAACCAGGTTGCGCTGATTCTCACAGCTGCGAGTTGTACTGCGGCTTGGTGAAGTGCAGGTTCTGAGCGGCTACGCGACGGAAGCCATTCGGCTCTAGCATATCAGGCGTCGCCCGCTACGTGCAGCTGAAACGTCAGTCCAGGACTTACTGTAGCGTGGCTTCGTCGCCACAATGATGTTGCTCATTTCTCCGGTCAGATTGTCGAGTGTAGATTCAACGAGTGGGGTGCTCGCAGCACGATGGTGGCAGGGATGTCGTATTGAGTTCAAGTTTAAGTCATCCAGGAGATGATGGGCGACCTTTCGAACTTGCCGGACGTGACAACGAATCTGCTACCGCCTGGGCTTGAAGACTTCAAGGCCGCTCCAAAGCAATTGCGGTCATGGCCTGAAGTATGTCAGCATGCTTGGCATCTTGAAGGCAACAGGATACTTGGAGCCAATGAAGGCCATGTTGAAGAAGACTGCTTTCATACATTTTTTGGCTGGCATGCAGCCAGGTGCACCTGCCGCAATGTCCGGAGGAAATGCGGCTGGGTCGGCAGTCCCAGCTCTTTGGTCTGAGGCTGCAGAGGCGGCCGTGTGTGCTGACCAAGGCCCGGACGATGGCCCTTCGCAAGTCTTCATCCCAATGTCCGATACCAAGCCGTTTCGCACGGGGCTTGCTGCTTATCAGGCCGGCAACTGTCAAGAGCCTGAGGCGTCAATGCCCTGAAACGGGAAGAGTTCTGCGATTTCAGGCAAGAGTGTGTTGGCCGGAAGCCCTGGAGACCGCAACAGCTGTGCTCTGAGCAGCAGGACCCTATTGGCACACCAGTGTTGCACCCAGACTTGCGCGATGCTGGGGGCGAAACCCCAGGATCTGATACTTGGCGGCACAAGTTTTCATTGAATGTCCGCGTGATCTTTCAGTGTAGGCCATGTGGCACACTTGGCGTGGCCATGCAGCTCACAGTGAGGTTGTCACCCGAGCAGGCAGCAGGGTCTACTTCCCACCAGGCGCTCAGTTGGGAGTGTAGAGCAAGGAAGCTGATTGCTGCGGAGTGTACCCGTCCTTGTCTGGATCTGCAGTCTTTAGGTAAGAAACAAGGAATGCACTCCTTGCAAACAACCCTTTGTTCAGCTATGTGTAGCTTCTCCAGCTATGCAGGACTTGACCCACCTGCGCGCACCTCATACAAGCTTGGTGTGATTCTTATGAGAGCTTTGTTTTTGAAAATTTGTTTTGACCGAGGAGAACACTCCGAGTCATGGATCCACTCTCCATGCAGAAGGAAACTGCCCCTTAGATGCATGATGCAACCCCTGGGCGCCACAACAACAAAGCTTGGGTTCAGGTAAACCTTGCGCCTGGTTCTGGAAGCCGGGCTCTTGCCAGAACGGATTCTCTGCAGCAAGCCTGCTTAAGATTCCTTGCCACGTAAGCTGGCTTGTGTGAGTTTGCTGATTTCTGAGAGTGCCAATTGCTCAGGAAAGGACTGCATGCATTGCCACCTCTGTCCCAAAGATGAGCTCAAGACGAGGAAGAAAGCGAAGCATTTTGGCAAAACTTCACAGCCTCTAAAGAGACAGGGTGACAGGCGCAGGAGCTGCTTCATTTGTCCCAATGATTGAGGTCGGCCTTCATGCGGTTGGGCCAGCGGCCTTGCTAGGACGACCACGGAAACAGACATGCAACTTTCAAAGGGACTTCCGCACGCACATTGCTGAGGTCTGACAACGCCAAAGCCCAGCGCGGAGGAGACTCACGACGAGCAGCTGGCCATCAGCGCGCCGCACAAAATGAAACCCTGACCTTCAAAGCTAACCGTTCTTCAAAGCAGGCAGTTTCTGCATGTCGCCGAAGTCCAATCACAAGGCTGCCTGCTTGAAAGAGTTGAGCACGTGTGACCTGGGAACGTCATGCACCAGCCTTGGTTGCAGGTGGACTTCTGCGAAAGTTCCGAGCAAGGCTGCTGTACTTCAGCAGTGTCAACACAGCGGCGGATAGTCCACTTCGCTTTAACTTGCTGTCCAGGATCTACCGCCGCAGCATCATCTGAACGCGAGTATTCGGATGGATCGTCAAGCCCTAGACTGTCACCCACAGGCGCGGTTGCCGCTTCCTTTGCAGCATGACCGGCTACAAGGGATGGTTTCAGTATGTTCTCGTTCTTGTTAAGAGTCTTTCGCAGGCGCAGGTGAGGTATATGCCAGCGAGGCGGGTGCAATAGGGCTGTGCCACTGTGCTGGAGCACTTACTGCCAACCCCTGCCAGATGCACGTGACGAAGCTGGCAAGCCAGGGGAGTAGCCTTCACGGCAATGGTGCGTAGCTCAGGAAAAATTCTATTCTTTGTGATTTGTCCGTTTATGACATCCGAAGGCAACTGCCGCCCTTGTGCCTGGTTCTGGAAGCCTGCGGGGTGTATGAATGGCGAGGAGTGCCGGCACTGTCACATGTGTCCGCCCGGGGAGGCGCAATCCTCCTGCCACTGTGTGAACTGTAGTCTAAATTCCTGAAAGGCTGGTAGTATAGGGGGTTATTTAGGAGACCATTATAAGGCCTATTGAGGGGGATGCTAGGAGTTTAGACTATAGCCTATGGCTCGTGCCTTGTCAGGTTCATGATGGTCATTGTTTGATGAAGCCAGGTGAAGAGCCGCAAGAAGAACAAGCTCGCACGCAACTGAGTCGAGCGCTGGTGGGTGGAAAGCAGCTCCTACAGCTTGAGGCCATGCTGCGACTTGGTCTTGCGACGCCAACAGCAGCTGCCAAGAAGGCCAGGTACATTACTGTACCATTCAACACATTCCCTCACAGTCGACCTTGCCCGCAGGATTCCTTTTCCATGGACTCACCGACTGCTCTAGACGCGAGGCCAACATGGCTCTAGAAGTCTGAGTCGTTGCACGGTTCTGCCAGAGTTCAGAGTCCTTCACACGCAGACGGGCATCCTGAGATGCAGAATCGATCAGAATCGTATGCGCGTCACTTCGCCAAGGGATGGTGCTTGGGCCATCATGGAATGGCCTGCTTGCACATGCCAAGCTGCATACATGTTCCTCTGCGGGGTGCGTAAAGTGCGTACTTTTCCTTATGGCTGGACTGGAGGTAATCCCCGGCCACAGGTGTCTTGGGATGTCTCTAGGGCTTCGGCCGCTTTTCGTTTATGCGAGCGTCCGCACTTTGAACGTGCGCAGCTCGGGTGCATGTGTGTGCTGAACATAGGGTTGCTTTCAAAAAAGACATTTAATGGACCTTAAGTGGTCTTTACGTAAGTTGTTTTGCACCACATGCGCTCCACAACAAGGGAAATCTGCTTGCACAGCCAAGCCAAGTCGCATGCAGTCTAAGTCTGCTTTTCCATGCGACTATTTAAGAGCAAAGCTCTCCGAACGCACCAGAAAGGTCTTGAGATGCTTGTTTCAGGGTATCCGGTTGACATTACACACGCAAATGCTTGGCAGCTGGCTTGACAGAATCAGCTGCAATTAGGCTGAAGCATGCTTGAGGCATTTCTTCAAATTCTGCAATGTTGTACTTCCAACGCGCGGCCTGCGAGGTCTATGCCCAAGTAGCTCCGTTAATCCTTTCTAGCCCCTGTTTTGCTAATGGAACATGGCCACTGCGGCGATGGGCCGTTGTCAGTTTGGAAGGGTGTGTGGTGCCTCAGCTGCATCATGCCAAAGCTTCAGGAACGGATACAACATGTCTTGCGGAGCTGCAACATTTGTGTAGAGGGCCCAAAAGCAGCCTTGTCTGCATTTGGGCGTCCAAGAACAGCACCCCTCCAGAAACTAGATACAGCAGAGGCCATGGACAGGGGATCGAACGAAATAAGCAAGCCTCCTGCAAAACGAAGCCCAGACGCATACTCCAGCATCTGCTGGGAGATCATGTTGACTTACAGTTAAACTGCAGATCCATCAAATCGCGCACAAGCACCGCCAGCCCTTCAACATAAAAAGTCGTCGCTCAGGTGGAGCGATGCAGATGGTGCTCGCCGACTGCGGCACTGGCAGCAGCACCTTAGAGGGAAATCCTCAAGATGGGCTGGGCAGGTGAACCTGTCAAGATTTAAGTGATTCGCTTATTTGATGCAAGGATGCGTCACCTGAGCGGCCTTCCGAAGTTCACGCATCTTTGCAACGCAGCTTCGCAAGCAGCAACTTGGCGGCAGCTCAAGTTCAGGGCTCGAGTTTTGACCTCTGCGTGGAGGCTTAGATCAACCTAAGCCATCGGGACCATCCTGCTTTTGAATATGGCCTGCTGGCAAGCACACAAGCAATCAGCAGACGGCAATGCTGAGTATGAAGGATGCCGCATCCGACATGATAATTGCTGAGGTGCCCCTCACCTTGGACGAGCGCGCAGAAGATGTGGCATATCTGGTGGCCGCCCAACACAGCAAGCTTCCTGTGTCCGAGCCAGCATGCACGCTGCCCAGGATTTAGAGATGCGCGATGAGGAAGGCATGCAGCCAGGCCTGGCCAGCCCACGGCCGTCACAAGGGCACCAAAGATGCACCATTGAGAATTGATGTTGCAGCAGAGCAGCATCCACAAGGCACAGGAACTTGGCGGTGGACATGCCAAAGTCTGCTGCGGGCAGTTGCTTTCGTGGACTCCGCCGTTCTGTCAGGCGCATTTGTGAGCCCTTGGTGCTGCCTGAACTAGAGATAACTGCCGGACATGGGTTTTTCGAGGTGGCACAGTGCTGGTCAACTGCTTCGCTGGGATGAACAGATCAGGCGCCATTCTGCTGTCCTGGCTATTGATGCACCGAAATGATGGGAAGCCAGCCTGCACTTTGATAAAACCTGGCACGTGGGGCGTTCCGGCCGGGTTTGCTCTCTGAGGAAATCTTTGGGTTTCACGGCAGAAGGTGCAACATCGTACTTGCGCAGCTTGGAGCCTTTCGCTCTCAACAACCAGAGCCTGTTGGAGTGTGCTCTAGCTGTAGCAATGGGAGAGTCGTGGCAGGATTTAAGTGGCATGTCCTCTTCCTGCTTGGCAGCTTTGTCGTTTAGTCTGAAAGTCCGACGACCATCAGGATGAGCAGTGGTTGGCGCCCAGTGTGCAGGATCGGAGTTGATCAAAGACAGGGTCCTGAGCTTGACAAGAGATGAACTGCGCCTGCTTGTCCAAGGAGACCTGGATCCTGAAGGTGCCAGAGAGACCGGTTGGAGCTCCATCCAAAGGAGTTGTTGAAGAAGTTGAAGAGGTCGAAGCGGCAGAGCTTGTGCCTCTTTTCTGATTTGGCTGATGAGCTCCAGCGACTTCGTTACAAGTTCGATGCTCGATCTATGGTCAGTATCTCCCGGATGGTGGCTCTACCGTACCTGAAGACAGTGCTGTCGCTGCCCCGCCGTGCTGGAAGCGGACAACTGACTTTGTTCTAGACGGCCGTGCTGGACTCAATGCAACATGCAGAGAGATCCAAGAGAGGCTCCGTGCCGAGGCGCGAAAAAGGCCACAGCATGTGTCTGACACATGGCATTCTATGCTGACAGTTTGAGAGGAAAACCTGTGCTTTAGGGCCAGCATCCAACCCTTTCTTGCCTGCCTGGCTCAAGATAAAAGCGCTGATGAGTTGCAGATCGAGAGCCAGCGATGGCCGACCCAGCAAAAGAGCCGGGCAATTGGACGGAGCATACGCACAGTGATGGCAGGCGATACTACTACAACAAGGACGGCTCAAGATTGCATACACAAGCGCTGTGTGTCAATTTCTTGTGACCCGCACCATACATATTCCATTGCAGAAATTCTGGATGCATCATGCAGGTCACGAAGCAGTCCAGTTGGGACAAGCCGGAGTGCTTGAAAAATGCTGATGAGAAACTGAATACAACCAGCTGGAAAGAGTAGCTCGTGCTTTTTTGAATTTTGCTGTGCTGCAAAATCTTTATGCTCGTGGGATGTTGTGCGAGTGTGGGGCGCGCTTGCTGCTGAGGTACAAGACTGCTGATGGGCGGGACTATTACTACAACCCCATCACCAAGCAGAGTGCTCGAAGCTTGGAAAAGGGACTGTTGCAGCGTTCCAGCTATCACCACCAGCAAGGAACAGCTCCCCCCTAGTTTCAGGGCCCTTGATCTCCAGGTCTGGGAAATGCCTGCGGAGCTAAAGCGCTTGAGGGGGCTGGCCAAGGAAGACGAGAGCGACGATGCAGCCCGGTAGGGACATTGATTTAATTTTTGGCATGCATTGGCTTTTCGGATGTCACGGCTTTGACACGCCTCAAGGAAAAAGACTCAAAGCCGAAAAAGCAGGAAAAGGAGCCGGAGTGGAACACCCCCGAGGAAAGGCGGAACGCCTTCAGACAGGCAGTTGCATTCTTGGGACGACCATGACCATGATGTCCGTGCAAGTAGTGGCTGCCCTTGGCAGTTGCTCGAAGATCGGGGCATCAAGAGCAACATGAAGTGGGAGGATGCCTTGAAGCTGATCCAGGACTAGTGCTCCTCACAGCTTGATTGGGTAGCTTGCCTCGACAGCTGCAGTAAATAGTAGCTTCCATTTTATTTTCCATTATCCCAATATAATCCCTATATTACACCCCTATATTACACCCCTATATAACCAGGAGGACAGGAGATTCGTGGCCTTGACTGCGGCTGGAGAGAGGAAGCAGTGCTTCGCTGAGTACATTACTCAGTCCAAGAAGCGTGAGAAGGAGGAAGAGCGCGAGAAGAGGAAAAAAGCCAAGGATTCCTTCATTGATGCCCTGTCCGCCTGGAAGGACTTGAAGTTAACTACCAGGTACAAAGATTCCGCAGAACACTTCTACAACGAGGAGTGGTTCAAACTCCTTGAGGAAGATGAGCGTGGCTTGGCTGATCGGCTTTGCCTGTGGCAGTCATTTAAACCTCTGGTGTTTCCTGCCAAGCTCAGGGGTTGAAGTTTTTGATGACTTCATGGACGAAAACGAGAAGAAGGCCAAGGAAGACAGGAGAAAGAAAAGAAAAGAGTATGTGGAAAAGATAAAGGCAGGAAGTGTCACATCATGTGCCCCAAGTAGGAACAGAGAAACGGGGGTGCCGAGTTCCAGCACATAAATAGCAAGCAAGTTTCCAGTCCAAATTGCAAAATTGTGATTTCACAGGACATCTATACAAGCGAAGAGAAGATCACTGTGCTGAGCCGCTGGCGCGACGTGCAGGACCCAAAGATTGGCGCGTAGAGATGTAGGGGGAAGAGCTGTAACAATTCACTTGGAAGGACGCACTGCGCGACAACGAGTACTTCAAGTGGCTTTCCAAGCTTGAGGCCTTGACCTCCTGGGAGGAGTGGGTTTTGGATACAGAAAAGGCTGAGCTGAAGGACAAGACCAAGGCGAAGTACCGCGCTGAACGCAAAAACCGTGATGCTTTCCGAGACTTGCTGCGCGAGCATGGGAAGGAAGGTAAGATCACATCCAGCACCTTTTGGGGTGACTATGCCGAGGAGAATGATATAGTCAAGGATTCTCGGTACATTGCCCTCATCGCGCAGCCGGGCTCCACGCCTCATGACTTGTTTGACGACTACTTAGAGGAGCTCGCAGACAAGTATGCCCAGGATGCTGAGTCATGCACCAATGCATTCCAATCTTCCTGAGGGTTTAATGGTACAGTAGCGTTTTCTTTGAAACATGCTAGGGACAGACTGCTGTGAGGACAAGACAAGGCTGAAGAAGCTTGCGAAGTCTAAGGGCCTAGTGATCACTCAGAGCTCCACTTGGGAATGGTTCAAGACCGAACTCAAGGATGAAGCCGTGTTCAAAGAGATCTCAGAAGAGGATAGCAAGGCGCACTTCGAAAGCTTGGTCTCAAAAGCCAAGGAAGTAGAAGAGGATGCTGACAAGGCCTGCTATGTTTCAGGTTGCAATGGTGAAGCATGTTTTCTGTGAATCCGTTCGAGTCTTTGTCAAGGTGGCAAAGAAGAATCGCAAGAAGTTTGTGGAGCTGCTGCAGAAGTCTCGGGAGATCACGGCCAAGACGAGCTACGAGAAAGCTGGCAAGCTGTTGGGCTCAAGTCCCGCCTGGGAGGCCATGGAGGACGCAACGCGCCGGCAGTGCTTCGACATCTTTGTCGATCAGCTGAAGATTCAGTCGGGCGGAAAGGAGGAGGAAGAGAAGGAGGAGGAAGAAGAGGAGGAGGTCACTACGAAGAAGAAGGAGAAGAAAAAGGAAGGAAAGGCGACGAAGAAGAAGAAGCTAGACGATGAAGAAGAGAAGGATCCGCCACCCAAGAAGACAAAAAAGAAAAAGGAAGAGGAGGATGAAGAGGCACCCAAGAAGAAGGCGCGCAAGAAGTGAGAGGCAGTACCTGTAGTTGCTTCCTCAAGCTGCAACAAACTCAACCTCAGAAACAGCTCTAGGGCTGAGCGCCCAGCACAAGAACTATCTCCTACACCCAAACCCCAAGAGCACTCGCAGAGCTTTCGCGCTCCAAAAGTGCTAGGAGTCGTAGACTAGGGCCGGCTAGGGCGTTGCTCAGCTGCTAGGCACGTGCCGACCTTCGAAAAGGAGTTTAGCTTTGCTCTAGGAAGCGCAGCATACTGCATGCAATTAGGTGTTTCAATTTCGCGTGCTTCATGAGATTCCTGACAAGGGAGCCAGTCAAGGACTGGCACCATGCCGGTGCGAGATCTCAGCATGATGCACTAACCCAACACATCAGCCCATCAATCCCACCACCCTCGGAGCATGGCCCCAATATAGCCGCCCAGTCTCCCAAACGCATCAAGCATCTTTTGTCTTTGTGACCCAGCTATGCTATGTGGGCGCTTACCTGCCCATAGCGCAGTCGAAAAGGGCGACTAGGTGCAGTGCTCAATTGGGCTCTGATGCCAGATTCAGACAACTTCTCTTTGAGCGGCTTGCTGGAAGAGCTGGAGTTGGAGATTGAAGACCGCGAGAAGTCGAAGCCCAAACAGAGCTCTGCCGCAGAGAAGCCGGCGGATGAGGGACTCCAAGGACCGGAGGCCGAACGAGGCGTACATGATGATTGGCAGTTCATGGGCCTTCTGGAAGGTTTGGAAGGCTCCGCGCAGAACAACTCCATGTCTCAGTTTCGTCCTAAGGACAAGAGTCAAGGAGTGAAGCGTGAAGCCATTCAAGTTCCACGGCCATGGTCTGTAGAAGGCTCCTTGGCGTTCACAAGCCTGGCCTCAGACGCGAACTCTGCGTACAGAAGCTACATGGAGGACGGCTCCCTTGTGCTTCAACCGTTTGAACCAGGCAGCGGCAGTGACCGGTGGGGCTTCTTCGCGGTCTATGATGGTCATGGAGGCCGGGAGGCTGTGGACTACTGCGAGATGCGTTTGCACCAGCAGGTGGCGCTGGAGATGAAGACCTCGACAGCTTCCGATGCCTTGCGAACTGCCTTCCTTAAGATAGATAGCCAGCTTGGGATGTATGGTGCTTGGAACCATGGCACAACTGCCACAGTTGTGCTAGTGCAGGGCAGCAAGACGGCGCGAAGCCTCTATGTTGCCCACGTAGGGGATTCGAGGGCCGTCCTGATCGAGAACATTGGCTGCCCTCGGAGCCTCACCAAGGACCACCGGCCCACTGACTCCGAGGAAGCCAAGCAGGTCACGGATGGCGGTGGGATCGTTTCAGGCGGGAGGGTTGGAGGCGATCTGGCCATCTCTCGATCCTTGGGAGATCACCGCCTCAAGGGCAAAGGGCTAAGTTGCAATCCTGATTTGTGCACTGCAAGCGTGGCTGCTGGGCACGTGCTGATCGTTGCCACAGATGGTTTGTGGGATGTTGTGAGTGACGAGGATGCCTGCAGGATCGTCGAGAAGTCGGTGGAGCAAGCAGCAGAAGCTCACTCAAAAAGTCCAGCAGAGATTGCAACCTGGCTTCAGAATCGAACTTCCCAGGAGCTCGTGGACGAAGCCAAACGGCTTGGGTCCAGGGACAACATCCTGGTGCTCACGCTTTTCTTCTGACATTCCTTGCGACCGGACATTCTGGTGCATTCCGGACTTTTGCTGCTTTAGCCCATTTGCAGCAGCTGCTTTCCTTGGCACGCATGTAAATCTAGCAACCTGCTCACGGCCCAAGTGAAAAAGAAGGTTTCTTGCAGCTGGACGCAGTTGTGGAACAGGTGCTGCAAAAAAGGCGGGGTAGATGACGGTAGTACCCGGTAGAGAGCTTGTAGCGCGTACAGCTGGACAGAAGCACGGTGAGCGGAGCGGAGCGTTTTCGAAGTCTTCGGCTCGAAGTGGAGCCCCGGAGCATTTCGCTTTTCGTTTGAAGTCTTTTTATTGCCGCCCTCTGCCTCAGCCTTAGCCCCTCAGTAGCCTCGTTTAGGGCGACGGCTTACTCGCTGTCATGTCAGATCAGCCCTGACTGAGCAGGTGAACAATGTATTTCTTCAAGACATTTCTGCGGCCTCCTCTCAAATGCATGGAGAGCCAGGCACACTGTCGCGTACACGCCCTGCGCTGCCTTCAAGTCAGCAACTGTAGACTACTATGGGGTGTCCATTCTCAGGCATCCGAGCCCCAAGACACTCAGTGTGATGACGACATGCCCCCCGGCCTATCAATGGAAAGGTGGGGCACTCTCAACAGTTCAGGCTAATGTACTGCTGCGGCAAGACACCATGCTAAGGGTGGACCACGTAGGTTCTGGCAAGCTCGTCCTCAAGGACATTTCGAAGACAGCTTCGCAGAAGGAGACTGAAGCACTCGACTTGCATGGAACTGAAGGAGTCCGCAACGACAGTGAAATCGACACCGCTGTTCGGGGTCATTCGAGGTCGAACCCTGAGAAGGACACAAGGCTCGGGACCTCAAAAGAAGGTGCTGACGACTGTCGAGGCTCATCATCTGACTCTTCCAGATCCGTGTCTCTCCTGCATCTGATGTCTACAGTAGCCATGGCGGCCCCTTTGGCGTCCCCAACAGTTGCTTAGCTGCTTAGCCCAGGAGCCGGAGATCGAGGCGCATGGCTTGAGCAAGTTTGCAGCTTGCCTTCCCATCAGATGCCTGAAATTTTGAATTTTGTATGCAGGTTGAACCTGGCGCTGTCGAGCTGGACATTGATGAATGCATCGAGAAGGCCTGCTGCAGAATCTGCTGAACTCTCGTGTTTTACTCTAACACTGCTCTAGATACAGGGCATTGCAGCTTGTAACCCTATATCGACTCAAGTAGCTGAAGGTTGGAGAGGCGCGGCCATGGCCTGAAGACCGACTCTTGACAGCAGAGCAGGCAGAGAATTCCTGGAAATGCCTCCGTAAGTGGCGCGCAGTCAAGTCGGATGGATGGTCCCAAACCCTGGGGCATGGAAGCGAACGACATTGGGCCTTACAGCCATACTCCATGCCAGTCAAACATAGTGAGTTCTGCCCACTCAGGCTTCCAGAATGTCCGCTTGCTGCAGAACGCTGCCCGCAATCAGGGCAAGGTGGAACTGCAGTGTCTTGGCCAATCATGTCTGTGACGAAGTGACTGCAAGGCAGGATTATGCCCTATCGCTGTCGCGATCTGCTTAATGAATTTCTGGTCGATGTCGCTAAGGAAGGACCTCTCCAACGGAAAGTTTGTGGCAGTGAAGCGTATGCCCATCACCTGGACAGGGACAAATCATGAGGACCCGCTTTCTGGGGCTGCATTTGAGTTAAGTATCCCCCTTAATAACCCCTATATTAATCCCCTATATAATCCCCGATGTAACCCCATTTCAATCAAGGAGTTTAGACTATTGTGCATTTAGCCTGCAGCTTGATGTAACCTTGAAGTGGCATCCTACCAGGACTTTGTACAGAGACATCCATCCGAGACAGAGCTGCCATGGGTGGACATTGGTTTGGCCACTTGACCTTGGCTTAGGGGGGTTTCTTAAGAACCCTAAATTGTAGTTTCTATCTTCTTTTCCATTATCCCTATATTTCCCCATATTCCTCCTAGATTACGACTATCAATTAATGTATTACTCCCAAACTACGGTAAAGACCCAATATAGTATATTAATATAGGGTCACCCTTGCATACTGTCAAGCTCGCTCCTCAGGCCAAATATTTGCACGCAAAAGGCTTCCTCTTCATTTGCGGCTTGGATAAAGGCTTGAGGGTTTCCCAAAATTAGGGGTACCTTTTTGGGGGTCCCCATAATAAGGGCTATAGTATTTTGGGGTCTATATTGGGGTCCCCTTATTTTGGGAAACTACCGCTTGGACCAGCAAGGCTATTCCTTGAGCGCCCAATGTAGAGACGTCGATCTGCGTGTCGCAGACTTGAGATTTGCAGATATATGACACATGTGTGTGCTCTTAAGGCGAGCCGTTTGGCACGTTCTACAGCGACAGAGACTCGTCTTGACATTTTGCTTTGCGGCTGTAAAGCAAGTGACAAGATGAGAAGATTCAGATCGGCCTCCTAAGGCGAGACATACTTTGTTTCCGAATTTGCAGACAAGGGTGACCTGCTACTTGCAAGCAAGCAAGACAGTGAAAGGGGCTCTTCAAGCTGGAAACTTGCTTAACGACGATGCTGGCTGGTGTCCGCCCAGGTTTGAGTGGTGTCAATCCGGTCCCACTCCTGGTGAAGAGCGCGAGCCACTAATCAGCAGACACTGCGGCACAAATCGCGCCGATGCAGTGGTAGTGGAGCAAGGGAAGGTCACCATGATCTTGTATCTATGGGCAGGATGCCAAGTCTCCAGATAGTAATGCCTGTGAATCCCGCCATGCTTGCAACTGTAAACTGACACGTTAAGCTTCTCTGCGCAAGCCCGCTGTGGCTCTATGAGAACTTTGCACCTGCTGTAGCCCCATATCGAGGATTGGGCGCCTCAGGAAGTTCTTGATGTGTTCCTTTGCTTCCTCTGTCTGCGTTTGTCCTTGCAAGGCAGATGTTGCGACCGGTCGCGCGGCAGATCCTCGACGCAGTAGTCCTCTCATGCAGACTGCTTTGCAGCACATGTGCAGCTAGTGTGTGCTAGCGAGATCTCAGGATAGTAACCGCAGTGCAGCATCTGCACAGTCTCCATATCGCACACTGCGATCTGTCCCTGGAGAAGCTGAGAAGAAGTTGGTCTGGTTTGGATGGGGTCTCTTGTGGCAGCAAGCTGGGAGCCAAGGAACATCCTCCTGACAACGAGCTCAGATAATACTCCTCAAGTGAAGCTCATCGATTTTGGCACGGCGCTTACGGCCCTGAAAAAGGCCCCCCTGGAAGCCGTAGAGACTGGGCACAAGGCATGGCCGCCATCAAGCAGGACCTCTTAGCTTCCATCTCAGAATCTGCAAGCTCAGAGGCCCAGAAGTGGATAATCTTAAGCAAGGTCGGTCCTCGCGGGAAGCCATCTTATCAGGCCCCGGAGATGCATGAGCAGGGGAGCTACGAAACCTGGCCCATCTTAGAACAGCTGATGGAGGAATCTGACTGACATCATGGTTGAGCAATTTTTAGGATCCTTGCTTGGCTGATGCCTTCTCCGTCGGCGTGGTTCTTTTCGGGTTGCTTGGCAAAGGTATTCTTTGATTCTTTGGTCCTTCTTGTTCCCAGCAGCCTACCTCCTGGCATCTCCGAGGATGGTGGCGCAAGACTATCCATGGTTGTCGACAAAGTCGCCAGCCCAGACTCACAAAGCAGCCACGTGCAGCTTTCTGTCGAGACAAGCAAGCAGACTATACTAACATGGGTGCGAAACCGAGGCCCAATGGCTGTAAGTGCTTCGAGTTCACTCGGCAAAAGGGACTTCAGGCATACTTGATGAAGAGAAAAGCCCGCAACTTGACCTGCACCTAGAGCCTTCACACAAAGAGATGCATTGAATCGGGCAACTTTGACTCACAAGTCCAGGGAACAGTGATGGTGCTCGACTTTCTCAAGTCTTCAGCGAAGCTTGGCTGAATATCCTTCAGGTGAATCTTGAAACCTTCTCACCACCTGGAACTGGTTCCCCGCACTGCCGACGATGATCTGATGTAGCCGTCTATCCACACGCGAAAGGAGGGATGATGCGAATGTCTGGGAAGGGCCTGTGCGTCTTTTCCATGACCTGTTGAGATGTGTTGAGGCTTGAGCTTTTCGGCTCGGGTCTTGATTTGTGGCTTCCAGATGGGCTGGGGCTGGCGTACAGACTTCTTCAACGCATCAACAGAATAAACCCTATAGTACCCCCTATAGTACCCCCTACATACCCACCAAAGTACTTCCCAGATACCCCCAAAGTACTTCCTAGATACCCCCTATAGTACCCCTAACGTATCATCCCACGTCAACCCCCGTGTCACCTTGCAAGGATTCTCTCTCAGAACTGCTGGAGTCCTTGCTGAAGGTCGATCCGGCTGAAAGATCCAGGCGGGGAGGAGATGAAGCCCCGGTATGAACATGATACAATGAGGGGTCAGATACATGCATAAATATTTATATATATATGTGTATATATATATATGTTTGATAAAATAATTTACCACACTATAGCATAATCCATAATCTACTGCAATGTGCCATGGTAGGCCCAAAGCATACTACAATATGAAGAAGCTGCTTAGCTCTGGTGACTCGAGCTGAACGAGGGCTTGCTTCACTGAATTGGCTTTCATCACTCCTCTTTTCGTAGGGGTTGCGCACTGTGCGCTTGTACCGCCCGGACATGAAAAGGCAGTTTCTAAAAAAAAGGGGACCCCAACATAGATCCCAAGCTATTAGGTCCAAAAAGTACCCAAACCCTAAACCATGTAGAACCCCTATATCCCCCTTTAAGGAGGCCCCGAAGTTTGGGAAACGCCCAACATGGCAGGCTCAATGCGGAAGTGAAACCATGGTTGAATGAATCGGTGTGGTGAAGCTGATCTTGGATCAACCTGCAGGCTGGCCTTAGGGCGTAACAGATATTAGGGGGTTTATAGGGATAATGGAAACATGGAATCTACTATAGTATAAGAAGGTATATATTAAGGTCATGAAGGGATAATGGAAACATGGAAACCACAGTAGAATAATAGGGTATATGTTCACATATTGAGGTTATTAAGGGATAATGGAAAAGAACATGGAACTACTATAGTATAATAGGGTTCAGGGAACAAGGTGGTTCTGGCTTGGGGTCCAAGGAGCGAAGGGTTTAGGATTTAAGGGTTGTGGTGGAGCATGACCAGGCATGGACACAGCAAGCCTGCAGCAAAAGGGTTTAGGGCTTCATCTTATTGATGTATATTATGGTATGCATATTGTTGTATAGCATTGTAGGTTATAGGATAGGTTATCGTATATTATGGTATATAACAGTATAGTAATCATGCTATATTATAGTCAATATATGACAGGGCTGAAATGACTGTGTCAAAGGCCATTCCACATGCGCGCTTGCACTCCGCAAAACTGTTAGCATCAACAATGCGGCCAGGTGATGTACTGCGGCGGCATTCGGCTTTAAAAAGCCAATAAACTCTTTAAGAACAGCAGACCGGCTGGAATTTGAACTCAGCACAGTAGCCCTGCACAGCAGGCACTGTTGGATGCTGCTTGCATGTGCTGAGCTAATCAACGGCAAGATGCCAAGTTTGTTGGCCATGCAATGCGTGCAGTGGCCTGACGAGTTTGCTTTGGCTTGCTTCGGCATTTTCCGCACACACCTCATGTGTAAACTGGTGTGGTGCCAAAAGTTTATTTTCGATGGTGCGCGAAAGCTTTGAGGTCAGAACAGGCTTTGCTAGGACCAGCAGGGCACATACTGCACCTGTGAGATCGTGCCAGGCCCTGCCAAGTTGCATGTTCCCGTCTTCGCCCTCTAGGCTACAAAGCAAGTTCAGAAGAACTACAACCTCAGAATTTGTGATTTGACTTGCTTCCTGCAACTTGCGCGCAATAGCCACTAATTTGCCAATTCAAGGTTACCACTTTTCATTCTTCTGCACTCAGCAGGAGACAGCGTTGTTTTCCGGCCCCGCTGTGTGAAGAGGCCCGAAACTGACATGCTTTCCTCCCAACGTGTGAAGCTTATTGCCAAGAGCAAGCCTTCCAGCTTGAGGTTTGTGCATCCACCCACTCCCCGAGTGAAACAAAGAACTTGTTTGAGTGAATGGACTCGCAGGAAGTGGGAGAGGATTTTCTGCAGGCTTCAGCTGACTTAGAACCAAGCAGGGCTCTTCAGGTGTGTCGTGCTGAGCGCGGAAACAATTACACTGCAGAATGCCAACGTAAGGGCCGTAGGGCATGTACATACATGTATAGAGATATCTCAGGAAGTCTTGATACGATTGCAGGAAGACCTTTTTTTAGATGAGGTTGGGCCGGAGTGCTTTTTTGGCCGGACAGCCTCAGAAAACCAAAGGAGCCCTGTGATATGATACGTTTGATGGAGGTGCAGCCTCGGTGCAGTCCAGGTTTGACTGAGTCAAAGCTGGGAAGGGCGCTGGGCCTGAGGCCCCGAAGTCATGATTTTTAACCCTGAATTAACTTCAAGAGCCAGCCCACGAACAGATGGCCTTCGGCCAGGCAGAAGTGGTTAAGCAGCACTCACTCTGTTAATCACTGTTACTGTTTCTCCAAACTTTCCGGCTCGGAGGGGTTGGCCATCCTAGCCCACATGCATCCAGCATACTCTAGGATACATGCATACAAATCCATACCTCGTAAGGCTCTCGTCGGAAAAGCCTACTGAATTGGCCCTAACTACCCTGCTCTCTCGCTTCTCTCGCTCTGCAGTGTCTCCTTGTTCGAAGTTGGTGATCTGGGTATCTGCCTGTTGACGTACTGCTGGCTGACCGACGGCATTTGCTGCCTCAAGCCGGATGACAAGCCCGCCGAAAGGTTTTGTAGCCCGCAGGGTCACATACACCAGATACCTCGTGAACTGAGTCAAAGTTTCCATGCAACTGCAAGCTGACCTTATGATGGCGTGCAATGGCCAAGCTGAAGTCAAGTGATGGCGCCACTCAGCTTGCAACCGTGCTGTAGAGATTTGATTAATTATGCTTGACCTTTTGTGCCAGGGCACACTGCTACTTGTTCCGACAACACAGTCTGGTCAGTCTTGGTTGAGATGCATTCGTACTGTCTTGTTTTTGTCATGCCTCTTACTACAGACGTACAGTTGCCCCGATGCTTACACATTCCTGTGGCACCACGTCAGGCTGATACCTGTGCATGCTCGCTGGTAGCTTCGTTCAGTTGAGGACATTTTTGAGATCGATGCTGAAATCCTGGCCTTAAGCCCTGTCCTTGCCGGGGTGGCAGAAACCGGAGTCTCTCGGCGGAGAGATCCTACAAGTAAGTTTGTCTGCCAGCATCGTCATTTTGAGCATAGTTGCCACCATCATGGCGCAAGAGGCGCGAACATGAGGTCACCACAGGCAAGTAATTTGGCTCCACCTGCGCCAAGTGCCCGGGCTCCACGGGCACTCGCCCATAGCATCCATGCCCAAACCATAACCCCGTTCGTGTTCAAAGAGCATCCGCTGACCAGAGCATCCATGCCCAAACCATACTTCTGTTCGTGTTCCAAGAGCATGCGGTGACCAGAGCATCCATGCCCAAACCATAATTCCGTTCGTGTTCCAAGAGCATACGGTGACCAGAGCATCCATGGCCAAACCATAATTGCGTTCGTGTTCCAAGAGCATACGGTGACTA